AAAAGCTGATTTGCTGATATTTTCTTCCTGCAGTTTTCCTGAGGGCAATATCTTCCAAGTTTTCCAAGCCTAAAATCCAGGCTTATCATGTATTCCAAAGGAAGCATGCCTCTTGGTCAGAAGATACTAGCCTATTTATAAGCCACAGTGCATATAAAGCTAATCTTTTAATAGGGCAGGCAGATCTTTATTTGGCAAGGAAAGAGAATGAGGTCAATAAACTAATAAGTAGTCATTTCTTGATAGGTTACTACAGACTTCAAGTTCATAATTAATCTTTAACCTTTATTTTAATTATGCAAGACAGGTTCTGAGACAGGTTGTGTTAACTTGCCCAAGATCATGCTAGAAAGTGAAGAGGCTGGGATATGAAATCAGGATTTTTGACTCACTCTCCCTGTGTCCTTAATTTCTCCATGATGCTATAATCATAGTACAGTGGTTCTTTTTCGGATGATTCTAAGAGGAGTTTGTTCAGTTTTCTCTTCATTTAGAAAGGGTTTCTCTGAACACTGAAGTCACTTGGGTCTTCTCAAATGTATTTAACCTTGTTGCGTTTTGTACCCAAGCTGTTTTTAATATAAATTAGACAGAAAAGATCTAACTTTAGATCTCCTTTTTTTCCTTTGCAGATTATGGTTTTTCCAACCCAGCAACTAATACAAATCAAGTTCTGATCACAGTTACCAGCGATGAGCACCAGCTGTGCGTCACTGTCATACACTAGGTGACCAAGATCAAGAAGGGAAGGCTGTACATCCTAAAAGAGGAGACGTGGTCAACCTGAGAAATGGCTCTCAGCCACAAGGCACCAGAAATTGATACAAAATGAAAGGAAGAGAAGAAACGGTCACAGCTCTAGGCGAGACCACAGACAAACTATGTCAGAGACATTCCTAGTCCTTGCTAGCCCTCGTTGGTTCTTTAGGGATCTCCTCTTTCCATTTCTTCAGCTGTAATTATCATTTTCCAAAGTGTCATTAAGCTATTATGTCCTCCACGGAGATCTCATGAGTCTTCCTGGCTCCACGCCTCCCTGCCCTTTCTGAAATCCTATAGCATTGGTACTCACAAAATCCTGTTCTTTACTATATACTCTTCTGTAGGCTTTTTGGATTCGTATCTAACAGCAACACTGTAGGAGGCACGGTAGGAGTGCAGGGAATACTTGTTGAGATTCTTTGAATTTTGTGCTCTTTGGGCTGGGAAATTACAGAAAAGTAAACTATTTAAAAAAGACAATCTTCAGAATAGTTCTTTAAAGTACTAAACTTTGCTTGCTTTGCTATTATAAGTATAGATTTTTTGATATGTTCTTTCTATCAGTGTTTATCTTAACATATGGCCAGAGACTGGGAAGCAGAGAGGGGAGAGTTAAGACTTCAGAAATGAAGTATACTGAACTGTGCTGGTGAGAGACGCCCCTGGATGTTTGACCATTTTCTATGGTCATGGAGCTCAACACAGTTTACCATTTGTATAGGAAATCTTTTAGCTTTTGGCTGGAAATAGCTCTTTCCTGTAAAACTTCATGGAATTTCTGCTTCTGGCAGGGGCCACAGTTATTCACCATGGATCCTGAAAGCTTGTGACACAATTGTCCAAATGGACAGAAAATAAAGTGAGAAAAATCTCAGCTACATATTTAAAAATGATTTTTGGTTCCAGGTGATGGGCTGGGCAGGCTGTGACTGGTACTGTCAAGACTAACCCTTTCTCAGACCCAAGAGATGATTCTGATCTAAAAACCGTGGCTTCCAGACAAACACAAGTCCAAGACCTTACTTCATCTCCTGGATGACCATGCCATCCGCCCCCATTTCTATTTTGCCCAGAGACAGTTTCAGTCTTTAATTTGAGTGCATGGGTCCTGATTTGGGCTTGCTGGGCTTTTTTGTTTGAAAACAAGTCTCTTTCCCTGGGAGATTCTGGTCTTTTCTGGACCCTTCCAACTGTTTGAGGTTGGCTGAGTAACAGATGTGGACCCCAAAGGATCCAAATTGTCTCAGTGGAGCTCCTCAGTTATCTTCTTTGCTATAAAAAACTTTGAATTGAGGAGCCAAACCTTCAGGAAGGATCTCCTGTTCAAAAATTTTGATTAAGCTTTCAGTATAAAATAAGTAACATGTATTGAGCACCAATTTATCTCCAGAACTTGAGCTATATACTTTACATGTATCATTTCATTTAATGCTCACAATTCTGTAGGAGACAAACCTTGATCATCTTAGTTTTATCAGTTAGGAGACAGAAACACAAAGGGACTAAATAACTTGGTCAGCAGCACACAAATAGTAAATAGGGAAATTGGTCCTCTGATTTCCTCTCTCAAGTCCAAATTTCCTCTTCCTCAGTCTTCCTCTTGCCTGTTAGCTGAGGGCAAGACCATCTTTACAGTCATGGAGGCACAACTCTCAGAACCATTTTTGGCTTGTCTCCTGTCAAGGCACACCCAAGGCTTCCAGAAATCCCTTAGCTTTATTTTAAAAATACACCTGACTCTGCCCGCTTCTCTCCAACTCCATCGCCTTCTCCTGATTCAAGCCACCACCACTTTGTGTCTGAACCATCCTAACTAGTCACAATGCTTCTAGACTTGCTTCTTGTTTACCCTTAGGCCATTTCAGTAGCCAGAGTGATCTCTCCACATAAATCAGATCATGTTGCTTCTTTGCTCAAAAGCCTAAGTCCTCTCAAAGCCCTGAGTTCCCCATCGCATTATCTTACTTTCTGCCAGGGACTGATCGCTGGTCTTCTTTCTCTTCCTTGAACACCAAGGGTCTGTAGAGTCTCAGCAATGGACTCTTAGTTTGGAACATTCCACCCCCTTTTACTCTCCCATAACCTCATGTTTAATTTAACCTCCTCACTGTCCATGTCTCCACTCAAATGCCATGTTGGCAGTGTTTTCTTTACCCTATTCACTTTGGAACCCACCAACTCAAGGAGTACCAATCTCTCTTACCATGCTCTGTCTTTACTATAGCACATGTTAGCTTTTGGTATGTTTCCTACTCACTATTTACCTTCTTCTAGTCCTCTAAATTGTGTCTACTGTGTTCTCTGATGTATCCCATGAGAATGCCTACCTAGCACATTGTAATCAATGAGTATTTGTTGAATGAATGGATTTGGATTGCAAATCTTAGTGTGATTACATTTTTTTCTTGTAAAATAATACAGTATTCTCAAGTAAAAAGGGAATAGGACAGAATATATGAAAGGCAGCCTTAATCAAAGGTCAACTGAACAGAAAACCAGTGAAGTGCAATTGGATGATGGCAGTGTACGATGAAGGTAGGGGCTGGGGCATGAGGTGGGAAGATGCAATGGGGGTTTACTGGGAATTCTTTAATTTTGCAATATATTGGTAAGGGAACCCTTTTTTCCTTTACTTAGAGATTCAAATAAATTTTTAAACCTGCATTTGTCAAACCAGAGGGTTAGTCCTAAAACATTTCCCTTTCCCACTTCCTCTGCCCTTATAGTTCAAGGGCAGTGACTATTTCTCTGTGATATTGTCAGACATAATGAGAAATGCAGGTCCACATTGTTGGATCATTCAAGAGCTAGAAGGAATCTGGAATGGAGTTATTAGACTTGGAGCATTTTAATCATTTCCTGTAGGTTGGCAGGTTCCAAAAGTCAATTTCTAAAAGAATGAGGCAAAGTACACTTGAAGAACTTTTACAGCTTTGTCTAGCATGGTGGCACATGCCTATAATCCCAGCACTCAGGAGGCTGAGATACAAGGATCATTGTGAGTTCAAGGCCAGCCTGATCTACATGGTCAGACCTGTCTAAAACAGATTAACAGACAGACAAACAAAAAGAAATTTCATTGCTTCTATATACATTTTAAAAAATATTTGATGGTGTCCTGCTCAGGTATCCAAATTTGAAGGTTGACTAGTTGTTGGAGACATGGACATTTCTCAGTGCTGACACTTGTCTGTGACAACTTTAGCCTTTTCTACATAATACAGGCTTACCCAGCTTTCAAAAAAATTGGTTTGCCTGTTTATTTATGAGATAACTTCTTTTTATTTTACCTAATGTCAGGGAATGCCCTTATCACTTGTAATGGTGTAATTTAGGAACGCAATTCCAGTTGTAAAGGGTCTTCCAGGAGCCAATCAGGAAGTAACCCTTGCAACTACACAAGCTGGCCATCAGGCCAAACACCTTAGTTGTTAGAACGATCCAATGGAGAAAGTACATTAGGTTAAAGAAACTTAACATGCTGACAGTGGTTCTTTTGGGAATGGTCATATTAGAGGTTATTTCATGAACCAAGCCCTGACTGCCCCTGAGGCTACATGCTATTAGCACCAAAGAGGCCTCGAAGCCATCAAAGCCAGGGCTCATGCCAGAGATTTTGGCTCCAATTTCTTTTAAAAGCTCTCCAGGTGATTTCATAGGTAGTTGGAAATAACAACAACTTGACAGGAAGGATCCACTGAAGGGTACTGGAGGTGGGGACAGGGAGAAAGTAGTCACCCATATTTCCTTCACCATCCCTAACACAAAACCCCTTTCACATCAATTTTCCATTCTCTCCTGGATTATTTCCATAATCATAAGCAATTTTAAATTTCTCCTATCCTAGATAAAATGTCTCTGCCATCTTCTTCCAGAAAATGTCCATTTTCCTATATATTTTCAGGGGAAAAAAGATACATTGTCCAATTCCTTTCTATCTATCATTCTCTCCTAAGTCCACTCTACCCAGGATGCCCTCCTTCTCTACTCCACAGATGTTGCCCATCTTACCATTTGCAGACCAGTGCACTCGGGGCTCCCTGCAAAATCAGAAATGCGGAGCCTGGAGGTGCAGACACAGGCGATGTGTCCTGACCCAACTTGAGACTGGCTCAAGTCAATGAACACAGCAAAGAACCAGAGCATGTTGTAGGGATGCCTTTGGAGAAGATTGGTATTCAACAAAAGCCGTCGACAATGATAACGAGGTCTTAGTACAGGACAAGCTTATGACTTACACAGTGTGTGGTGGTGATGATAACAGAGCTAGAGATGAAAGAGAGGCCGTCGTTCATGCTGACTTGGAGTGCAGCTTTCCTGCAATGACAACAAGAGAACCAGAGACCCTCAGTGTGGTGTGCAATGAACAGGCCTGCGGCCAGACACACAGATATCCGTTGAGGTCTGCACTAACTATCCCTGAGACTACAGTTCCTTTCCTGTGAAGCTTCAGTTTCCTCTTTGCAAACTGTGGAAGACAGCCTCTTTGACTCTTCATCTCTGACACCTATAGAGATGGCAGGACACACCAGGCTGGCATCTCAAGGCGAGGCTTTCAGACCTTCTTGCATCGCAGCAAATTATATCAAATGAGCAAAGCCCACTTGCATTAACTTATTTGTCACATTGTAGTGGGACAAAGTAATCTTAGAAAGTGATCCGAGTCAATGGGCAACTGGGCAAACTAAGCTTCGTGTTCTCCTCTCATCATCTGGACTTTCAGGAATCTGATGGAGATGGCTTTGTTACTATCAGCAGAGTCAAAAAGATAAAGCAGTAGATGAACCCATTTGCCTTTTCCTCCCATGTATAAGAACTCACTGGAACACAAGCTCACATTTTGTTGCACTTTATAGCAAAAACACTGGTCTAATTTTTTTTTTTTGTCTTTTTCCTTTTTATCAGTACCAGGGATTGAACTCACAGCTGCTTGCTTGCAAGGCAGGCGCTTGTGCCGCTGAGCTAAATCCCTAGCCCCTAACACTGATCTAAGTTTATAGGTTCTGTGATATCATAAGGCAGATGTTCAGGCACGCAGAGGTGGAGGTCTTTCCACAGAAAATAATGTTTGGAAGCAGAATCTGGATGAACAATTTCTCCTTTTTTTGCTTTGAAGCTGCTATCCTGCCTCTAGCCTGTTATCGACATGGTTTTCAAGGGCTATTTCCTATTTTATGCACCAACACTACCTTTCTTTTCCTACATAAATCTTTCATTCAGGGTGCTACTTCTTGTTCTTCTGTTGAATTTTGATTACATCTCAGGAGCATTTATTCTAATGGCATGAATTGTTCTACCTAAGTTAGCTGAGGGAACTTTGGGTGACCACCATTGCTCTGGGGTGGGACACAGAGGAACATTGAGGGGGATTTGACAGGTCTAACTCTGGGGTCGTGATTGGTCTTGAACTGGTTGAGGCCTCACCTCACCTTTCCAGGCCTTTTCTCTGAGTTTCCCTGTCTCTAGGGATTTGGAGGCAATTATCTAGTGAGACACTAATGACGCTCGATGAGGCAGAATGTGAGAACTTTCTAGAAATGTAATTGTGATTAAGTCAGGCAGAGCTGGGATGAAGCCAGGCTCTCCCACTGACTACTGTGTGACCTTGAGAAATTCTTTCTTACTCAAATTCTTTTGGCCACAGTCTTCAGGTCTGTTCACACAGAACTTGGAAAGATGAAAAGAGACACTCTACCCAGCACTTATCTGATGCCTGGCTCCCTGTAGGCACCAGCACCATTGTTCTTGCGGCATCTAGTTCCATTTTGATATGGGAGAAAGATGCTTTCTTTTCTCTTTGTCCTCTCCACCTTCTCTTTCCTCCTTAGCTGAGAAGTTAAGTTGCTGGTGAAAACTTACATGCCAACTTCTTTTAAGACAGGTGCTGGACACAGTAAGTAAGTATCTTCCACAGCAAAAGGTTTCTCATCTGTAAAGAGCAAATCACTGAGTTAGGAGGGAGAGAAGCAAAATGATTATTTCAAATTTAGTGAATTCTAGAAACGATCAATCAAATCCAAGGGGACTCAAGGAAAGCAAAAATCCTTGTGAAATAAAAAATTACTCTTGTGTTATAAAATCCATTAGTAGTGAATTCAGGGGCTTTGCTTCACTGAGTACATCTCCTAACCCCTTATGTCCAGTTGAGTCAACCAGTGACCAACTAAGCAGTGAACTCTTATGATACAATTGGAGTTTATGCTTCCATCACAAAAACTAAAAATAAAAATTTCACTTGACCTCATGATTTTCCTTTCTTTGGTACCTTTCCCAAAGAGTAAAAATCATGATATTGCAAGGATACATGCATATCCATGTTTATAGCAGCACAATCTATAATAGCTGCATCTTGGAAATAATGTATATGTTCATCAACAGATGAATGGATAAAGAAAATGGGATATTTATACATAATGGAGTACCATGCTGCCATAAAGAAAATTAAATTTGAGGCATCCCGGTAAATGGATGTAATTTGAGAACATAATGTTAAGTGAAATAAATCAGACATGCAAGCTTAAATATCACATAGTTTTTCTTATATCAGAATATAAAAATACATAAATACATATACACCCAAACAGCAAAAGAGAAGACAAATAGGAAGTAGAGAGAAGTTCCCTAATTTACCATTTTGTTGTATCAAAAATATTGTAATACATATGTTAATTCATTTTATTTGTCCTACCAATTTCTCTTAGTTCACTGACAAGAAAGTTTTGTGGTGCTGTTTGCTTCTTTTTTGTAAGAATCTTTTTGCTCTCTGAATAATTACTTTGAAGATAAAATGATACAGTTATTATTACCTATGAAATTTGGTTTCACTTTTTCACAAAATTAAAAACAAAGAAATAATTGAGAAACAAACGAACAAAAAAGTGTTAGGCTGATATTAAGAGCTTCCTAAGTCTAGTTTGAGAGAAGCCACATTCATGGGAAGATGTGCTGATGAAGACGAGGAAGAGCTAAACCAAACACCACTGATGGCTTCAGAAGAGGGTGATCAGTCATGTCACAGAAGAATCCAAAGCAGGGCTGTGCTGCAGTGGAGAGATTCCCAGGAGCCATTCCAGGTGGAGGCACCAGCACAAGCAGACGGGCAAACAAAAGTCTGTCCTAAGACAGCAGGAAAGCAGTGCGGTACACGAGGAAGCTGGACCCAAGTTCTCTGAGTTGGCTCAGTGAATCTGAAAGTTCTAGAGGCTATCAAAAGAGCTCCAGAGGGCTTCTGGGCAGAGCTGAGGTGAGGAATCTGGAGGATTTAGCTGATGTTGCTGTGGAAGAGGGATTCCAGGGGCAGCTGGGGTTTGGGAGGTAGAGAAACTCTTGTATTCTAAAGCATGACCAAGAAAAATCACAAGTGGCTTTAAGGTCATGGTCCTGAAGAATTTCATTGTTTTCATTTCTGGACCAGAGGCAGGGTTGTGAAGTTAGTTTACGTGGTAAATAATGATCATTCCTTCATGCCTCAACATCCACTGGGGATGCATACTGTTCAAAACATTGTGGTGGATCCTTCAATAAGAGCTGGTTTTTCGATCCATCTGTAACTACAAATATCTATAACTAGAAGATCCAAATGGATACCGATATTTTTGCAGGACAATATTCTGTTATTGGCCTGGCCATGAAATTGCTATCACTTGCGTCATGTGTGAGTCTTGACTGTAGAATGCAGTGAGCACTAAATGCTTGCCTGAGTGGAGACTAGGAAGCCTTGTGTCCTAATCCTGTGCCCACTCTGAGATTCATAGGGCAGAGCCACCTGGGAGAAGATTTAGAGGGTACACCTGAATGCTGAGCACTCTGTCCCCACTGGAAGGAAGAGGAAGAGGAAGCTGTCAAGGGAAACCTTGCGAAAAGCTAAGAAGGCATTCAAGTCACTCGTGTATTCGTTTAACAAATATCTACTGATGGCCCTCTATATGCTAGAGATACAGACTTTGAGAATAGAAACAGGGGTCGTTTGTGAATTTTACAAGGGCTGCAATAGGGACAGTAATTCAACACATTGACTTTTGTTAAAACAATACATTTTTAAAAATGTCTACCATGTTCCAAACATTGTGACAGGGCTTGCCATGAACAAAGGAGATGAAACACCTCATCCCAGGTACTGATGAACTGCTAACCACACAGATTAGTATTTAATTGTAATTATGGTGAGCACACACAGGGGAAGGAGGGCCTTATCCTCCTCTGGGGGCTTGGTGGTCAGGAGATGCTCCCTGGAGGAGATGCAGTGTCAGCTGAAACCTGGAGGTCAGCTGAAAGGGAGATGGCATGGGAGAGGAGGAGGCACCTCACGGGTCTTGGGGCAAGAAGGATCCCAGACCTCGGGAGAGATGAAAGGCCACTGAGGGTGATGAATTTGAGTGGGACAGACAGTGGTTCAAAAAGGGACTAGAAAGGCACCAGGGACATGTGACCAAGTCTGTAGAGGACATGGTGGGGCTTTCTGGGATTTTTCCTAAAAGCAAAAGAATACTACTGGAGAGCCTCCCTTATATTTAGATCAGCTCTTGACAGATGAAATGTACAGGAATGGGGTGGGTGTGCTGTGTGAAATATGAAAGCCTATGACGACAGTAGTGTATCATGCAGTGCCTGAACAGACCATTACCATTTGCAAGCTATTTTTCTGACAATGAAAGTAATGACAGCCAGTCTCCCCCGGCACACACAGCGTGGGCTCTCCTGGGCACCTCACATATGTCTCTTCAACAACTCTAACCTTGCTGTAGTGCTCTAAGGCAGGGCTCTTTCTCTCTGCATTTGAAAGGTGAGGAACACACACACACACAAACACACACACACACACACACACACACCAGCTCCACAGATACAGGCACAGATTAAGTAATTCGCTCAGTGCTGCACAGGAGTGCTGAGATTTATTTGCACCCTGGCAGTCTGGCGGCAGAATCCTTGTTATCCAACAGGCTGCTTCATCACCCTTGATGAGAGCCGTGCTTTGTTCCCTCACAGCAGCTTTGTGAATTAGATCAGGCAGGGATCATCAGGCTGTTTTCAGATATATAATGGAGGCACAGAGAGACAGCAGTGACATCTGGTTGCCCAGCAAGCCAGAGGTAAAGCCAGAACTAGAACCAAATTCTTCTGAATTATTTTTTCCCTGCTAAGAGACTCAATTCTAGAAGCGCTTGCATTAGGGAATCAACCAAACACAGGACAGGCAAGGTTGGCAAGAACCCAGATGTATTTCTTCATGCCCCTGGCTTGTTCTGTGGCACATGCACGAGTGTTACCTGGGCGTGCAGCTCCTTCCCCTAGAGCCAGCCCACAAGGCCACAGGGAAGCCACAGAGCAGCCACAGCAGGCCTTGTGACTCTGGGCTGCATTCTGTGGGAAGAGTTGGGTCATGTTGACAAGGACGTCCCAGGCAGCACATGGCAGAGACACATCCCCAGTGCCTGTGAACAGCTCCTGGCTCCTCCCTTCCACAGAGCTGGACAGAAGGGGAGGAGAAATGTGGTCTGGACAGGCAGACACTTCTCACTCTCTCCCGTCTTTCATTTCCGCCCGTTTGGAAGTCCACCTATTCCTGGAGCAAAGCAGAGGAGGCCTCACCAGGAGGACTGTGAGCTTTTCACCCAGCTGTAGGACAGTCTGTCATCTCTGTATGTCAGCCTCCAGGGCTTGTGAGCCTGCTCTGCGGAGCTGGCATTTTCTGCTCTGAGAGGGACTGTTAGGTCTGGAGCCTATTTTCACGTTACCACAAAAATGAGTGGCACCCCCACCTCACCAAAAAAAGAGGGGGGCTGTCTGGTTTCCATAATCAGATCATCTGACTCCTTCCTGCAATGTCCACTTGAAAAGCGGGGCACAAAGCATTCCTCTTCTGATCCCAGGCTGGGCCATGCCTGGATCTGGACCCGTATTCACCTTGCTGTCCCTCTGCCAAAGCCAACATGTTGTCTGTTTATGGGGCCACACAATCCCTTCCTAAACAACTGGGTCCCCTGCCTCTTTGCCCACAGGCAGCCATTCCACTGCTCATTAGCACTGAGTGTCCAGGAAAATGGAGGCCACCTTCGGGCACCCGCTTGCCTTTTGTTTGCAAATGGGGAGAAAATGAGGGAGTAGAGGGCGTTTGAGACCTCTACTCATTTGAGACCTCTACTAATTTGAGAAATTAAGTGAAAATTCTTAGATGATCTTAAATTCTTAATTTCCATGTCCAATTTCCAGAGATGTTTGAGAGCTCCATACATACCCATGACCTAAAGCATCTGTCACAGGAGTCTGATAATCAAACCGAAGTTTGATTTAAATCAGGATTTGGGAGTCAGCAGGGGTTATTTGTGCCAAAAATCCTAGATCCTAGAGGTAGATATACTAGACACAGGCACAGAGGGTACAGAGTGGGCAGAGGATAACTTCGGGCCATCAGATCTCAGTTCAAGTGACAGATCTTCCTCTTACTATGGAGTGACTCAGACAAGTTCATGTCCAAATGGTGCTGATGACATCAGTACACACAATTGTGTGGGGAATGACTGCGTGTGTCAAAGTACAAAGCACAATACTTGGCGCTGAATAAGGACTCAGGAAATGTTGTATTTTATTGCATGGGAATCTAAATCTGTAAAATAAACAATACAACTATGTGGCTTAAATTAAGAGGCATTGAAGATTATAGTTTTAATGTTTAGTTTCTTAATTACATTGTTCTATCATACCAACAACTTTTAGACAGAAGGAATTCCTAGGAAAATTTAAAGGTTTAGAAAATTTGTGGGTGTATATAGATACACACACAAACAGATGCACATACATATATGACACACACATATATGCATGCTGATTTTGTCTAACATCATATAGCCATGATCTCATTTGATGCTTTTCCACCCATCTGAAAGAAATACTATTATAAACAGTTTGGGAAACTGAGAACAGAGTTGT